TCACCTTAGGAAAGGCTTCATAAGTGACAATCACAAGGGCTACATTTAGACTACAAGCCTCTTTCGAAAGAGAGCGTCTAGACTGCAAGCAGATTTTTTGAAAAAGCGAGCCGCTTTTTCGAAAGAGAGACTCGACACTTTCTTTCAAAAAAGCACAGTTTGCGGTCAATAGCATCTTTTTCGAAGGAGTACTTTCGAAAAAAAGCGTTATTCCTCATAAAATTAGATTTACTGCGATCGAATAAACTGCCACGTTCTTTCGATTTACTTTCGAAAGAACGCAGCTGCAGTCTAGATGCAAGTGAAGTTTTTTCATAAAAAGGCTACTTTAAAAAAACAAAAACCCTGTAGTCTAGACATACCGAAGCGGAGACAGGCAACTACACACAACTTGTAGAAGAGCATTAGTTCTGTGAGAAGGCTGGACCTTAGGACACACCCATGTGACAAATAGCATTTACATTCCCTAACAATCTGTGTAATGATGACAAAGACACAGACCAAGTCTACACTAGCAAGCTGTTGTAGAATAATTCAGCTCCCAGTGCTGTAACTCCCAAGGTGTCCACACTGGCTAAGCACTTAGTGCGCACTAACTCAGTAGTTGCTGCACCCTAGGTTAGTCACCTTGCTGAGAAACGCAGAGCTTGCTGCACTCTGGATACAGCACTGAGGGGGCCAGTGTGGGCACTTGAACGGATTGCTGCATCCTGACTGGCCTCCCAAAATTGCCCACAATCCCTCAAATCCCATCTCCTTTTTGTTTGTGGAACTCATCTGTCTGCCCTGCAGAAATGCACATATCCCCTTTCAGAGCTCCATTTCAGACAGCCCGCATGCTGTGCTGATTTGCTCTGGGACACACAGCAAACCATTCAGATGAAATGCTCTCACTGTTGAACACAGAAGTATGTGTCTTTATGAGTGAGAGTTAAGAGAGAGAGAGACAGACTGTGCAAAGAGTCCGGGAGAGAGGTGGGGTGGAGCAGGCAGAGGCTGAGATGTTGGGGTTTCCCTCTCCTCATTCCTCAGGAGAGGAGGTTTTCCGCTGCTGTCTGAACTTACAAGACAGCATGCTGATATCCCCAAAACACACAGTATCCTCCTTGCCCCTCATACAAACACACATACTCACTCACAATCTTCCCTTTTCCCCTGACTTCTGTGGAAAAGCAGCTGTCAGTTAGGATAATCACAGAGCAATGAAACTGGGAAACCTCCACCATAGGACACAGCTCCATGTGGCACTGCAAACCCTTTCCAAGACACCCTGTGGCCAGTTGCACCACAATGCACTGCTACCACAATGCACTGCTATCTCTGGCATGGCAAGCTACCACAATGCACTGCTATCTCTGGCATGGGATAGCTACCACAATGCACTGCTATCTCTGGCATGGCAAGAACTGCTAATGCGGACACGCTCCACTACCACAAGGAGTACAGGGTAGCCACACAACAGCAGTTTCCCGGCAGCGCTCTATGAGAATCGCTCTAGCTACCAGCACTTTACATCTGCCAGTGTAAATGTGGCCTCAGTGTCCCCATATGTGGAATGGGGATATTAGTCTGCTCATCACAGAGGTGTTGTAAGGATCAATGAAAGACTGAGTTTCTGTGCTTAAATACTATGTGGACATGGTTCACATATGAATGATACATTAGATATCTGCATTAGGGAAATTTGCCTGAAATTTGTAATGGAGACATGTAGCTCCAGTGCAAAAATTGAAAAGTACAATTTCTTTCATTAACAGATCTTCAAAAATAGTTTTGGGATTCAGAGAAACCAACAGATTAATGTCTTTCATGACATACATCAGATTTCAATGAACAACATTCTTATGCATAAAGACATTTGTATGCATCATTTAAAAACTGCCTGTGTGATTCCAAATGCCAATATTCCTGTATGATGAAAACCTTGTTATATTTATGAAAAGAACACAGACTGAACACCGAAGAAATGATGTAATTTTTGCTTTACCTAAGCTCTACTGTTGCATCAAAGAAACAAACCATATCATCAGTAAGATGTATTTCCAGAACTGGTGGTACTCCATTTCGATCTTTGTTTGCCGTTGGATTAATACACATGGAACCATTCATGCCAAAGTGAACCCTAGGTGAGAAATACATTTCTGAAAAAAAAAACCCATGTATCTTCACAACACTCCTAGGCATCTTAATAGGCTATTTTCTAGCTTGGCAATTAAATTTACTAAGTATATATAATAATCCTTATCAATAGGAACAACAGGGTAACATGAAGTTCTTGTTACTCAACTTCTCATTCCTCCCACAAATAATGGTATTTATTAGCAACTAAGAAGCACTTAAGTATACAGTGACCATCATAATCAAAGTTGCCATTGAGTTAAAGATTTACATTTGAAACACTTTTGTGCCGTTATAATACAGAGCAGCATCCTTGGAGTTTCTTCACCTGTAACGTTGCCCTCCTAGATCCCCTGCCAGTGTCCTCCATGGAAGTTCATGTAAACCCAGGGACAATTGGGGGGGGGAGGGGAGAAATACACATTTTCTTTCTTGCTGACTCATTTTAAAATTAAGACTCACTAAAACAAGAACGGTGTTCTTCTCAAAGAATATTCTATCATCAGCTTTTTTTTGGCCAAGTCACAATGATCTGACATAGGAGACAAAACGGCCAGTTGTTTCACTACCACATTTTTTTCATCGTGGTATTGAGTTCCTTCCAGGTGTCATCAAACAATATGACTAGCATCTGTCCTGTGTGGCAGATAGGTCTTTTCCCCACCTCTATCCAGTGCAAAGATTGTGCAGATTTTTAAAATTCTTAAAAATTATTTAAACAGAAGTGCTGACATTTATTAGTTCAGGTGAGGCTGAAGATGCAAAAAACACAAAAGTGATGATATTTGAGGTGCTCTGATTTCTCTACTGATGAGCTTTGAGGCAACATGCCAAAGGAGTGTAGTTGAGCCACTTCCCTCCTACACCTTTCCCCACACTTCTGCCTCTGTATCAGAGGAAGCAGCATGGGGGCGGGAGTGGACGGCCAGGAGCCGGTACGTGCAGAGTTGGCTTGCACCTGTACCCCCATGCTGCTTCCTTCAATAGAGCTTAAAAAGCTTAAAACTCCCCGCAAGCACTGGCTCCCATGGAGACACATGCCCCCCACACTGCTGCTTCTGATACAGAGGCAGCAGTGTTGGGCAGAGTGGGGGTGGGGGGAACAGAAAGAGTCAGGTGGGAGCCGGTGCTTGCACAGAGCCAGCTTCCATCTCTCCTCCTGTGTGTAAACTGCGACCACTGAAATTTTCAGTGGTGACAAGTTTACAAAAATAAACACATATTAACATCCCAAATACACCCTACATCCTCAATAGGAAATCTTATTTCTATGCTTTTCTTTTAAAATACTTTCTATCACAGAGAGGTTAATTATTTTATGGTTTAGAAGTTGAATACTAGACCAAAAGGGGGAAAAATAAGGCCTGGCACATGACAGAACACAAAGACAACATTTGAAATATCAATTTGTTTTTAATCTCTCCTCTATAATGCCACACATTTGTTTATTCTTACTTTTAAATAAAAATACTAGAAGGATGGTTTCTTTGAAAAAATGTATGGTTAACTTTAAGATTACAATGTCAATTAGAAAATAGTAACAAAGTTTACATTGTTAGGTAATTTATTATAAATCCAAAAGACAACCTTTATTGTAAACTGAATCTTGAAGTATATTGTGCCTTTCAGAAGCTTTTCCTTATTCAGTTAAGTTAATAAATACAGCTATTTTGACAGTAGCTGTTCCTTTATACACTTCCAGGTCTCTGTTGCCACATTATAGCATTGCACAAGGTTAAGCAGTATGGGGGAGAGGACAGGGGTTAAACATAAACTTTAAATCCTGTTGTGCGTTATCATAAATGCATTTGACATTTCCTAAAAGTTCTTGACAAGAAAAAAATAATGTGTATGGTAGTAATTAATAGTCTCACTTATGGAGGTCCAGTGTCCTGTTTAAAAGTGCACTACAGTCAGAAAACTAGCTGTCATAACTACTTCTCAGTTTACAAATACACTAGTAGAATATCTCAAATCACTTCCAAGAATAAATTCCTTTTATATTAAAAGCCTTAAGAACTTTACAAATTCCATTCCAGTGTGCCTCATTATCCCTGATGTGCTGAAACAATGAAAAATAGCATTCTTGTCATTTTAATTAAGGGGAAAGTGGGGACGTAAGCTACTTTAATTGAAATCTTGGTTCTGCTGTCTGATGACAGCTAACATTAAAAAGCAGATTTTTTTAAAGAGAGAAAAAAGAGCTGTTGTAACTGTTCAGCTGCATAAGACATTGAGCAGAAGTTTTTGTGCGTGGGCGGGGGAGGAGGGCTGGGGTTTTTTTGTTTGTTTGTTTAAGAGCAAAGCTCTCATTATTTCCTGGAAAATAGTTGCTCTGTAACAAGACCATTGTTACAGGTTGAACCTCCCAAAGCCAGAACTCTCTCATCTGGCGACATCCATGATTTGGCAGGACCATAGATGTTCCTGAACAAGCGAGCCAGTGGGACTGTGGTAGCCAACAACCCACCTAGGGCCAGAGCAGCCCTTGCATGCTGGCCCAATTAGGGCTATATGCCAGCAGCCTGGCAATGGGGACAGAGCCACAGCAGCCTGGCTGGCAGTAAGGCCAGGGCTCTGCAGCCCAGCAGGGGAAGCTGAGGCTGTGGCAGCCACAACCCAACTGAGGCCAGGGCAGGCCAGCAGCCTAACTGGGGCTCTATGACGACTGGCAGCAGGGCTGGTGCTGCTGTGGCAATCCAGTTGAGACCAGGGCAGCTCAACCAGAGCTACATGTCACCCAGCAGTGGGGCTGGTGCCACAGCAGCAGAGCCAGGGCTGCATGCTGCTGTGTTAGCAATAGGGTTGGGGCAGCCATTCTGAAAGCAGATTCAGGGCCGAAGGAGCTGGCAGAAGGCTAAGAGGGCAATGGCAGGGGACCTTCTCTAGTATGGAAAATTCCCTCACCTGGGACCGCTCAGGTCCCAAGGGTGCTGAACCATGGCGGTCCAATCTGTATAGGAACAAGAAAAAAAGTTGGTAAAATTTTATTACAAAGGTGCATTAAGGTCCTGGATATAACTCCTAATGAAATTAGTGGGAATCTTTCCACTGCTTTTAATGACATTTTATTTGGGCTCCACAAATTAGAATCCTTTCTACATGGAATGTGTCTAAGTTTTGCCTTTCTAAATATATATATGTGTGGTGTGTGTGTGTGTACACACACACACACACACACACTTACTTTAACAAAATCCTTGATGATTTCCTGGTGGAATTATTCAGCTGCAGTCCAATGGTACATTTATAGCTATTCTGAAGAAAACAGACCGTCAGAACATCCTTTGAAGGGTGCTCTCACGACTGAAGGAAATGACAGTTTAGAGCAAATTAGTCTCTAGTCACTGATTAGCAGAGTTTGCAGATGAATTTTTTTACAGAATTCTACCCCACTCACTTCTTCAGGTTTTAAATGATTCATTTATTTCTTAGTTTTAAGAGATACTACCACCATAAACACAAAAATATCTCGTGGTAATCCTCAAAAATCAACTAAGAGGAAACACAAAAATCAGAGAGTGGATCATACTGTCCCATTTATCAATGATAGGTGGATCACAAATTCAGAAAAAGTAGATTTCTTTCAAGTGCTAATTTGTATCCAAGTTGTACCTCATTCATCTAGGAGTCATTCAATCAGCACAGAGGATTTCATGGCCAGATCTTCCTTCCCTGATGTGATGCTAGCCAGGGACACAGAAATAAACCTACAGTGTCTGGCTTTTGGCCAAGGAGGAAGTGTTATTTGGGTCCTTTTCCAGGTCCTCGCTTGTATTAGAGTTGTACAAAAAGTCCAGTTTTAAGAGAACAATTTTAAGGTAATTTTTCCCTGGTAATAAAGAATTGCTGCCTTCTAGCTTCAGGATGAATTTCATAGGGGCAATTTATAAAGGCATTTCAGAGCAGTCAGTGATGTGACTGAGTGGACCAATTTTTTTTTCTTCCCTAAGCAAGGATTTCAATTTCCAGTGTTAGAAATCATTTATTTTTCAAAACAGGATTCAAAAGTAACAGATGGAGTTAAATGAAAGATCCACACACTTTTAATTGTTGTTCTACTTAAAGCTCTGATTACATACTTTCAATTACTAATTTTAAAAGGCAGCTTAATAATTAAGATTACTGAAAATCCTTCAGTGCCATAGAATTATATTCTAATACTACGAGGGCACGTTTCTCTCTTTTTTAATGATACAATGAAAATAACTTTTGCAAAATTATACTTTTGACATAGAAAAAATAGTTAATGCATATTTCATATTCATGTTAAATATCTGAGAACACTACATGTCTATACTGTATTACACTGACCATACAAATTAGGTTTTCTGTTTGTTTCTCAAATGAGTCAGCCCAAACATTTTAGCGTAAGTTAGATAAATTTCACTTTCATTGTAGTAGCCATTAGCAATCCATATACTGCATGATAGATTGGAAACAGGTAGAACTAGAAGTAGAAGCTATCCATCGAGAGCATGAACCCAAGTTTCAAAGGTGATGTATTTGAACAGAAAACATTGGGAGTAATCTATATAAAGTATTTTTAGACTCTTCAGTAAAATGGTTTGCTCCTAATCAATTAAGTTTAGAAAATTGTAATAAATGTCCTGTTAATGCTACCAGTTTTAGAAGTTGGACTTTTGTGCTGTGAAGTCAGTGAAATGAACTTTTTAAATGGGAGGATTCATTCTGTTTACCATCCTATGGGAATATGATACTGTATTTGGTTGTTACACACAAAAAGAATAAAAATGCAAAATCAAGCACTCAACATTTCAGAAGTACCAGAATTAACAATGACTTTGCAAGCTTGATTTGACCTCTTTATGCATTTGTAACATCACCCAGGATTGCCTAACATTAAATAGAAAGTCTGGAGCAAAGCAACTGCCAACTCTCAAGACTGTCACAAGAAAATGTTCTCTCTTGTCATATTACCCTCCTCCTCATTCACTGTCCAGTTTGTATGGACAACCTAAATTCTGTCATTTATTTCCTAATTTTTTAGTGCTTTACTCTGTCACCTTAATATTCTTCTAATGTTTTGTATGTCATTTTCTAGGTGTTTTTAAGCACATTGAACCCATAGAAATTCATCACATCGAGCTACACCCCACCCCAGGATGAGTGATCAGTATGGGTGGAACTCGGTGGAACTCAAGACCTTTAGATCCACAGCACTCTGTATAGGCATTCCTTGTGATTTTTGGGTTGGCAATACTGCTCTTTAATTGATGAATTTAGAGAGGTCTCTCCCTTCAGTTTCTCTTTCCACCCTCCTTTTTTGTCACAGGTCATCAGAGAATCAGAGAGACAATGGAGAGTAGGGTGAGTCCATGACTATGGTTAATGACTGGTCAGAGTGACTAACTATTATCAGCCAGTGGTCTGAATGAGCTATCTACTGCCATCTGTTAATCAACAGCACTTTGCCATAGAGATCATCAGTAGACACACTTGCTCTATCAAGGTGCTCAATTTTGGCTCTTTTGACCAAATTCACTTAAGAATTCATCCACATGATGTAAAAGAGAACTGGGAGCAAAAGCATACTGTTGCCTTATATGTGGACCAGCACTACGGGTACGTCTAGACTACATGCCTCTGGCGACAGGGGCATGTAGCTTAGACTACCAGGCATAGGAAAATGAAGCGGCGACTTAAATAATCGCCGCTTCATTTAAATTTACATGGCTGCCGCGCTGAGCCAATCAGCTGTTTGTCGGCTCAGCGCGGTAGTCTGGACGCACAGGGGTCGACATTAAAGGCATTTGTCGACCATGGAACGATCTGCAACACTTCCCACTGCTCACATTGATCATGAACGGCGATTTACGGCCAACCAGAACTGCAATCCTCCAATACATGTGGGGGTGCAGATAAACATAGTGGCAGCAGCACGCCAGGAACTAATCCTGTGGGCTGCCTTTTTTTTATTGCCTACCCCTGATCTGGACCATCCCTAGCAGCTGTTTATCTAACCTTCTCTTAAATATCTCCAATGGTGGAGATTCCACAGCCTCCCTAGGCAATTTATGCCAGTGCTTAATCACCCTGACAGTTAGGAAGTTTTTCCTAATGACCAACCTAACTGTCCCTTGCTGTAATTTAAGCCCATTGCTTTTTGCTCTATCCTCGACTAATCCCTGCAGAACCCCGCTTGTTATGCCCTTCCAGCATGACTTTAAACCACTGATAACTACTCTCTGGAAACAGTCATCAAACTAGTTATGCACCTATCTTATAGTAACCCTGTCTAGATTGTATTTCCCTAGTTTATTTATAACAATGACTGAATTGTTTTAAACTTTAAAAAAACAAACATCAGTCTAAGACAGTCACCTAGAATGGACACTTTCAGCCCAAACAGTTAAACTTTGGCACAGCTATAAGCAACTGAAAACAGGACTTGTAATGAAAGTTCTAGGCAACTGTGATTATAGGCAGAACTGACAGCAGTGCCTAGAACACACTGCAGTTTCATTACGTGCATTTTATTTAGAAATATCTAAAACAATTCAGGAAATAAAATGGCACTCACCCTCTGCTTTCAAGTGAATAAAGCAGTAGGTTGTGATGTTACCATTTCCAACTCCTTTTATGAAGGAAAAGCAGAATCATGTTGTTATTTGTGTAGTATATCTGGTGTCTAGATACAGATTGCATAGAGAAACTTCTCTGCAATATTAATTAACTTTCAAATAACTGAAAATGATAGTACTGAGAATGAAAAAAACCCTCTGAAAATCTACATGGTTAGAATGTATATATAGGAAATACTGTACTTTCTCTTACCTCAATGCTTTCTGTCCAAAATACATAAAAAGCTCCTTCCCCAAAGTTTCAACACCAGTGTACACACATCCTTTCAGCAATCTCAGGAAATCCTGACAGGAGGCATTATTCCCAGTCACGGCAGTCTGAAAATAAATTCACACACACATGAACATGTTTAGGAAAGAAACAGTGTATAGACTGTTGCAAGGGTACAAGTGCTGCTTATTTACTTTTTTATTATTATTAAAACAAGTCCACGATGATATGTGAGTCGATTCATTTGCCAAGCTCTGGAAACCCTCTCCCTCAGAAGTCTCTCTACTTCTCCGAACAAAATTATGAGTAATTGACAGGACCAAGACTGTTGTTTCTCAGTCTCTACTTTTTCTTTTTAAATAGCTTTGTGACATAAGTTAAATTAGTTATATATACAAATTACCTTATAATTTAGTATTCCTAACTATAGATATAAAAGTACCAATTTAAAGTAAGTTTGACAGCCCATTATTTATTGTATTCAATATCACTTTTCCTGTTGACAAAGGGAAGGGCAGGGGAGAAAATGTATGAGTCTTTGTCTAATGTATGAGTCTGTTGCACCAATCCCAGAGTGCACTTTAGAAAATATCAATTTAAGCCTTTGGAAATCCCTATATCGACACTTATTTTGGGATAAACAAAGTTTATTATAGTTTATTTTAAGTCAATTAGGAATCAGTTTAAAACAAAATAAGAGTTTCCAATCCACACAACAAAAATTCAATTGATTGTTTTTATAAAGGATTTAAATTAAACCACTTCAACTTCTGTGCTAAAAGAACACCTTAAATTCTTCCCAAAGCAATGGCCTTCATGTCCCACTTAAGTCCTTACATAAGCCATGAAGTCTTCTGGAGACCCTCTGTACTGGATGATTATGATTCATCCACATGCAGCAACCTAAATGATGTCCTTGTAATGGTCCTCTGCTCAGGTAGAATGAATTTAATCATCTGAGAATATGACCGTCACTATCTTTTCCCCTTTAATAAACTTATGAGGGCACAATCTATTCAAACTATTTAAATCCTGAAATCAGAAGATTATAAGAATTAATTCATGACATCATGTTTTGCACTACATTCTTTTTAAAGTTGTGTGTAAGAGCACTGCTGTGGAACCTTAATACAGACTTACAGCAAAACATTAGTCTGTGTAGAAGGTTACACATCAAGCCAAACAAAAAAAAT